ATCAGGGAGGAATCAGGTGGTTTTAAGGTTTTTAGGATGAGTGAATAAAATCTTTGAATAGGCTAGGGAGTTTTTAGGGAAAGAAGTTATAAACTTAATAAGAACATGAAGAAGAATAATATTTTAGAATATCTATCCCCTTGATTCTAGTTGATCATTTTACAGATGAGAAAACCGAGGCCCAGAGAGGTTATATAGTTTGTTTGAGATCATCTACCTGGATGTACACCTGTCGAGTTTGAAGTGGTGGAGTAATATAAGGTAGCAAATATATTCAGCGAAGAATTGGGAGGTGCTGGGGTGCCACCTCTTATCCGTCACCTGGAAGGATCACGGTCATGTAGACAGTACCTGTCACACACATGTGCGGTGTGGTTTTGAGCATAACAGTTGTCTTGTGTCTCACCTAGAAGAAGTAGGCGGGGCCTAATCCAAAATACTGGAATATGCTAGGTAAATGCACAGTTTCCAGACGGAGCCAGGCAGAGAGGCCTTGGAACTCAGATCTGGTGGTGGAGTCAAAACAGCAAAGACAATCAGCTACTCTGCTTTCCTCCCTACATCCTGTGGCGGGAACGCAGGTCACCAAGCTCATGGAGCATTGGTTAGGCCATCCAGTTAGCATATTGAAGGGGACATTTGTAAGATTTCATTTGCCAGAAGAAACACTAGCCTAGAAGGACAAAGGCAAAAGAATTTGAGATAGAAAAAGGAAAAGAGAGAATCAATTGAGTTTGAATAACATTAATTAAGGGCTGAGAGCAAGTCAGTCTTAAACACATGGACCTCACAGGCCCGGGACAATGAGGACCCAGAGGAGGCTGTTTCTAATGGACCCAGGACATGCAGGGCTTGCCTTGCTCACGGGGGTGGTTAGGCCTCTGCCCAGTGTGTCCTGCACAACTCAATGGGGCTACAGGCTGCCTTTTTCTGGCCTCGCTCCCAGCCTGAATCCTGCAAAGCCCCACAAATGTTTATAGGACGAGTAATTAGCAATTATAATCAGCAGGATTCTGTAAACATCCCTTCAAAGTACATAATAGCAGAGAGCTTTCTGCCTACCCAGCAACTTGCTCTAAATGAGTTCAAGGAACTTTCAGAAAGATGTAGTTCATTAATCACCATCATGTCAAGGTGGTGACATCGTCTCTTGCAAGATCAGGAAATCAAGATGCTGATGTTCGAGAGGTTTGACCAGCCTTACAGAGACTGAGATATTCAGTTCCTGAGTCAATCAGGATGGGCAAGGTCATGCTGCAATGACAAATGACCCCTGAAGTCTCCGTGGCTTTAACAGTGAGTTTGCTTCCCACACTACTCGCCCTTCCGGTGTCTGGGGCAGCCCTTACTCTCACTCGTGGGAGCATCCACCATCTGGGTTGCTGCCAGTCACGATGGAAAATAGTGCTTGGCTTTTATCAGGAGTAAAAACCTGGGAGTTGTAACCTCCACTTCCCTGCCTTAATTTCTCCATCTATAAATTATGGTTGACAAAGGTAAATCTTTCTTCCTTAAGAGTGGTACATCTGATCTATAATAACTGTTGAACACAGTAAGGAGACTAGCCTTTTTAAATATTTTAAATAAAAGATACCCATCCAAACACCCAACCACATAGGTAAGATCCTTGAAAAAGAGTTCATTTGAAAGCATGAAGTTTATCCATGATGCCACTACAACCTAGAGTCTTATAGTTGCCTTCCATTTATATGTCACCAGAAAAGCTTTTTTTTTTTCTTTTAGAAGTTTCAATATAAAAAGGATTGTGGCAACAAGCAGAATCAGAAGGACATGTCACCATGCAGAGGCCACAAGTCACTCTTCACAAGGCTCCCAAGGTGGCATTCATCCCTCTAGTGACTTCTTCAGTCTCTTGAGTCATCTCTTTAACTTTGTAGGCTCAGAAATCTGACTTTCACACTCCCAGGGCAAGACTCCCATTAACCTAATGTATAAATTCATGATATCAGTGTATTGGTTTCAACTGAGAAGTATCACCTTCATTCAGACAAGACCCTCAGGGAACATGATTCTTGACCTCTCATCCAGGAAGTAGTGAGGTCAGCAGAATAGCAGAGGGAACTTACCCATGTGGGTTTTGAGGCCAGCCAGAGCTTGATTTCTGATTATTTTCTATCTTTTTCTGGGGGATTAGGCAGAAGAAGGTAAAATATATATAATAAAATTTACCATTTTAACCACTTTTCAGGTATGCAATTCAGGGGCATTGAATACATTCATAATTTTATGTAATAATAACCAGTATTTCTAAAATTTGTTGTCATGTCAAACAGAAATTCTGCAACCATTAAGCAATAACTCCTCATCCTCTCCTCCACCAGCCCCAGGTAACCTCTGTGAAAATGCCTATTTTAGTTACTTCCTATAAGTGGAATGACACAATATACAATCTTTCTCTTTTTGTGTTTGGCTCTGTCCCTTAGCATAATATTTTCTGGGCTCATCCATGTTGTCACATGGGTCAGGATTTTATTCCTTTTTGAGGCTAAATAATATTCCATTGTGTATACTCAGACCTTGTTTTGAATTTTGGCTTTGCTGCAAGTCTGAGGATAGCCTGCCGATGTCTCCCATTCTCAGAGTTTTGATGGGCAAAGGATGATAACCTGTATGTTAGATAGTGATGAGCTCAGATAAGGGGTTCTTGGCATCACATCCAGGATGTAGTAATGCCTTAGCGAGTCCCTTGGAAGGCACAAAATTAGCAACAGGATAGCTAAGTGTAACAGGATCTGCTGAAGTAGCCCCGGGTCTCTGTTTTTGCCATTAAGAGACTTTGACTGAATAAGGGACCCAAGTACTCAATGCCTGTTGCCTAAGGTCCGGTTTCTGGGTTCATCTCCTCTGCTTCCCAAACTGCCCCTCCTATCCCAAAGAGAAAGAAATCTTACTTCTGTCATTTCCAAGATTGGGCTGGATCTCTCACCACAATCTGCAAGAACCCACAAAAATTTACTCTGTAGTCACACCTCATTTTATAATATGAGGTCACCCCAGCATGTTCACCCACTCCTCCTCTAGTCCTATTCACTAAACTTGACTCCAGGTGATTTTTGACATTTGCAAAACAGCAAATCCATTTAGGTGCAAGAAAATCTATCACAGATGAGGATACGGTGTGATGCATGCTTGAAGGACAAACCCAAAAGATTATAAAAAAGTGTTTTAAGAAAGAGCAGCCATCATGCACATGCTGAGACTCCCTTGAAAGGGACGACAATGACTTGGACATATAAATCGTAGTACATTGCAATTTTTAATTAATTAATTACTTAATTAATATTAGTTAGGTATATATGACAGCAGAATGCATTTTGATTCATTGCACACAATTGCAGCACGACCTTTCATTTCTCTGGTTGTCTACCATGTAGCGTTGCACCGCGTGCGTGTGCAGTCACACATGTACCTAGGGTAATGATGTCCATCTGGTTCCACCATTTTAAAAGCAGCCACACTGCCTCAGTTACTGGGCATTGAGCCCAGGGGCGCTCAACCACTGAGCCACATTCCTAGCCCTTTTTTATTTTTATTTTGAGACAGGAACTTGCTAAATTGCTTAGGGTCTCGCTAAATTGCTGAAGCTGGCTTTGAACTTGCAATCTTCCTGCCTCAGTCCCCTGAGCAGCTGGGATTACAGACGTGTGCCACCAAGCCTGGCTCACAACTGAAATATTAAATACTTTGAAACTGGGCAACCAAACACCTTCTGGGAGTGAACAATGTTGGCAGCAGAGTCAGCAGCAGCCCACAGCACACAGCGTTTGTTGGAAGCTTCAAGAGTTCCCATCTTGCATTTTACTTTGTAATTCATCAGTGATATTCTGAGATGTGCCATGCATGTCCCTCTGTATTCCCCCAGGAGAGGATTTTTTCTATAAATAAAGAAGGGCCTGACGTAAAACCTTTAATTCCCTATTGGTTCAGAGATTGCTCTTTCACTTTTCCAAAATGGAGAGGGAACAGAAGTATTAAATACTAACGGGTGTTGATTTATCAGGATGTATTCTCCTGCTGATTTCTGTCTTCTGGGAAGGAAGCACCACCAGAGCTTCAAACCCACACTGATCAGTTCAATGGTTTTCACTGGCGAACTGATGGCCATTGAGGGTGATGGAGGAAGGTAGCAAAGAGACAAACATCTTGACTTAATCTCTGGGGGCCATTTTCTCTGTGTGCGATGGATGATGTCACAGGCTGTGATGAGGATTGAAGCCACTGGTAATTCTACAGTGCTTAGAATAGTGCCTGCCACCTAGCAAGTGCAGACAGTCTGACTTAGGATGACTCAATTTGTGATTCGGGGACTTCACAGTGGTACGAAAGCAATATGCATTCAGCAGAAACCGCACTTTGAATTTTGAATTTGGATCTTTTTCCCCAGGCTGGTGAGATGAGGTCCCCTCTCAGGTCACTGGGCAGTGGCAGCTCCCAGTCAGCCACATGATCATGGGGGGAACAATCTCCAGCGCTCACAGTGCGCTGTGTTGCTGAGCTCTGATGCTTAATAGGGTAGGTGTTGTAAATGTATTTCTGACTTAATATTTTCCACTTAGGATGGGTTTGTTAGAAAGTAACCTCACCATAAGTAAAGAGGCATCTGTAGATAAATGTTTGTTAAATATAATACTTTTTTCTAATAAAGCATCTTCCTACCAGTTCAGCGTAAAATGTGGGAAAGGCAAGTCACTAGGTTTGACAATCCAGCCAAAGCGCAATTGCTATTCGTCAATAGCACAAAACTACTAGGAAACAGGACAGAATCTCCATCTCATGAGGACCCTTCATTTAGCTGTCTGCTCAACAGAATCCTCATTGTCTCTTCCTCTGGGTTTTGTAAAGACCATTCGCATTTATTTACAGGGCTTGAGTTTTGAGACATGCTGTTGAAAATGAATGTTAGAAATCTGAGGTTGTATGCTTTAGGAAAAGTCGTCCTGGGTCACTTAACCCTTTTCCCTTTGTATTCTTCCCCCCAGCCCAAGCTTTTGGCCAAGGAGCTTCTTGACCTCGTGGCATCTCACTTCAACCTGAAGGAGAAGGAATACTTTGGGATAGCATTCACGGATGAGACGTAAGTGCCGCCCTGAGCCCCCACAACCCAGAGGAAAGGGGCAGAACCTGACATTGCCAGCCCCAGCGGTGATCAGTGAAATCAGAGGCAAGATGCTTGGGTCCCGTGGTCTGGGGTCAATCCAAGTTCATTATCTGAATTTCAAAAGCCTTGTGATCGTGCCAGGAACAGTCAAGGAATATAATTAGGGTGGTGCCAATATTACCAAGTTATTAGGTAAACTCGATCTTATAATTAAGCAGGTTTGTGTTCAGACCAAAATGTTTACTTTTTTTTTTAAAAAAAAAAAAAGCTTACTTTAAAAAAGTATATCTGTATGGTTTTCATGAAAGTTAAGTGAAAACTTTTGGAAATTAAACATTTCTCTCTTGTATTGGAATAAAAATAACAGGAAGTAAATATGATGATAAATTCAAAAGGAAGAATATCTGAGCAGTTTTACTGAGCTGAAACAGAATATAAAAATTAAAAATTCAGATCACTCATTGGATGAAAAGAACATTTGCTTTCAACAGTCTTTCAGTTTGGCTCCGTGAAGTGGTGTTTTGCAATCTAAGGAAGGAATAACTTTACTAAAATTTCAGTCTTCTTCTCAGTGTACTGTTTAAAGAGTGCAGTGGATACTTGCCTGAATTTCCACACACACACACACAAAATGTTATTTTTATTCTAAGCAGGTGTTTCATAGTTCTCTTTCCTCTGTGTGTATCCAAGTATACATACATGCACACTCCTCTGCATCTTTAAATTATGAGGATGATTCCCCACGATGCCCACATCAGGGTAAGGATAGGATAGTGGCTGGACAAGACTTTACAGAGGGCCCAGGCCCCAGGACTGGTTCTGAAACAAGAACTGGTGGGTCTACATTGGCTAATCAAGAGGTGACCATACTCCTCTGCATGGGGATGCATGGAGCCTCAGAGACCCGCAGATGGACAAGATAACCATATGATTTATTATTCAAGTTCAGACACTGGGAATAAAAAGGAATGCAAATTGGGGGCCATATTGGGCAAACTAGAATGTATATCCCTATAAATTAGTGATATTTGGGGCAATAGTGTGTTTGGAACAGGAGCAAAGCCACATCTTCCTCACAAAAGGAACAAAGACCACCCCTAATTCTGGAGCCTATAAGGAATGAGTCAGGAAGGAAGGTAGGCCTGGTCTAGAGGAAATGCCCTGGCCAAGTAAGCACAGCTGTGAGAAAGCAAGGCCTGTGCAGAAGAGCAGCCAACAGGTAATTAAAAAAAAGAAAAAAAAAAAAACCTAGAATATATGCTTTTAAGCAACTACACCTCTAAAACAATTACTTTCACAAATGCAAATGTTTTCTCCCGTTTCTCTTGAGAATCACGTTAAGCCCCTTAATTTGCTTTTCATACTGTTCACTGATTAGAAGGAAATCCTAAATTTCAATTAATCATATCCCCATTGTTCCCATTTCCCAAGTAAGTTTACTCAAAGATTCCATGAACTCTAGATAAGTTCCAATCAGACTAACCTTTTGAGTCAATAAGAATCAAAGAATGAGCATGTGCTCTTGGCCAAAGAGTTAGAAGTGGTCAGCTGAATGTTTCAGACCACTGCCCCAATAGCATCAGCTGGAAAGTGGAATGTCACTCTTCTTTCTCCCAGCAGAGACAAGAGCACAAAAGCCACATATTACAGACAGGAGATGCATGTTGCCAAGTCCCCTTGACCATCTAGCTGACCCTGTGGACTCTGAAGCTGAGCTCTCCTAGTTGTCTGTGTTAGCCCTGAGTGTGCGTGTGTGTGTAGGCCAGGCTTGAGAAAAGACTTGCACTCCCTCTAGTGCATAGCTGGCAGAGGGTGGAAGCCATCCTTCCGGCAGAGTCTAGAGAAGATGCAGCCACCTACATCCCATCCCACCAAATCTGAGTGGGCCACTCCAGCAATGGCAAGAGTGGCCGTAGGCAGCCCACAGAGGATCAGCTGGAAAGAGGCGGAGCTGGCAGATGGTTCCTGATGCACTAGAGGAGAAAGGGCAAGTGTCAAGAAGCCCAGAGGAAATGGAGAAGCAGCACCTCTGAGGGGCTGGCACAGGGAGACGGAACCCATGGGTCCGGGGGACAGCCCTGACTCAGGCACAGTCCATCATGCCTGACAATGCCTCTGCCCACACACCCCTCTGGGGCCTCTTTGTTGATGTGAACTTTTCCCCTTTTCCTGGTAGGAAAGAGAAGAACAAAAGCTGCCCCCACAAAATTGTGCCTGTGTGTGTGACCTGGTCTGGGCTGGCGCATGATGCCTATGTCAAGAAGGGCTAGTCTGAGAGTATGTCCCCAGCCCGCCCTCCACGTGCCACGCAAGGCTAACATGAGATCTTTTAATGCTGTTTTCAGACTGTGCATGTGGACCATGAGGTGTGTATGCGTGTGTGTGCATGTGTGATTTATGAGCAGACTACACTCTGTTTTCCTAATAAAATGCAACAGAAGTGTGGTCCTTTGTGACAGCTGTGGTGTGCTTCATGTATTTGCCATGTTCCCGTGCAAATCAAGCAAGGTTAATACTTGGAAAGGGCTTGCAAACTGTAAAATACTGAACAAATGCAAGATAGCATTAGCTGCAGCATTTTCATTCCTCAGAGTAGGATTTCTAGTGGAATATGTGACTCTGACCAAATATTGTCAGTGATTCTTTCAATATTAACTGCTCTTGATGACGTTTTATAGAAGGGATGGGACCTGAGGAAAGATGCATAAAACAGAACACAGACAGGAAATTGGAAGTTCCTTTAAGCTTCTCTCACCCCACAAGTTATATTCATTAACGAAGTGTCTGAGTACATGGTGAAAGACTTTATACCCATAAATGTTTAGTGATGTTAGGAATCAGCAATTTTGCAGCATTAATTAATACTAGCTCTACCTTCTCTTTTTTACTATGATTTTGTATTTTTTACTTTGAAATAATTAGTCTTATAGAAGAGTTGCAAAATGTAGTACAGGACATTCCTGTATACCCTCCACCCACTTTTCCTGTGTGTTGGCATCTTTTCAATCATGTTACTTGTTTAACCTATCAAAGCTAAGGAATTAAATATTGTTAATAAAACACAGATATTCAGATTTACCAGTTTTTTATGAATTTCTTTTATTGTTCTAGAATTCAATTGCATTTAGCCTCCTTTTATTTTTATTAACTCTGTCTCAATAAACAGAGGTTCTGGTGGTCATCTGTTAATGTTCTGAGCTGTGATGATGTACACACAGGACATTGGGCAGCCTTTAAAGCATTCTGAAACAAAGAGCCTGGTACAACTGTTGATGGGATTGTAAATTAGTATAAACACTGTGGAAATCAGTGTGGATTTTTCTCAAAACACTACACATGGGAACACCATATGATCCAGGTATACCACTTCTCAATAATTACCCTGAAAAAA